AAACACACATAAAAAAATATTTTTTATAAACTGATATGATTTGTGTTATTATTTAAAACTGTTTCATTAAAATTTTGTTTTTGAAAGAAAAAATATATAGAAGGTTTATCTCTGTATTCTAAAATCATGACTATATTGAATATTACGGCCGAGTTTTGATTCAGATGTTCTATTTCAATACAGTTCTGTTTCTCCTTTCAATTAGGTTGAATTTTGATTCTCGACGATTAAAGATTTAATACAAATGCCAATGATAAGGCTCAAAATGGAAACATTAGTTTTAAAATAGTGAATTAGTGATAGACCTCTTTTTTAAATTCTCTATTTGAAATGCATACAAATATACAATTGAAAACATATATTGATTCACAGCTTTTGAAAGCTTATATTAAATTGGTTACATTTAAAACAAAATTGCTAAATTAATAAAAAATATTTCCAATGTATTGTGTTGCATTAGTGCATTTTTTCCATCTAATCAAATTACACTATTTATTTATGTACTTTTAATAAAAGGCTTATTATTAATCAAGCTTTGTAGTACAGACTGTGGTTTAATAATATTTTTATTTGTTTCATACTATTATGGGTTTGCTCCAGGTGCTCTGGTTTCCCCCACAAGTCCAAAGACATGCACTATAGGTTTTGGGTGAGCTAAATTGTCTGTAGTGTATATGTGTGAATGAGAGTGGATGAGTGTTTCTCACTTAAAGGTTGCAGCTGGAATGACATCCGCTGCGTCAAACATATGCTGGATAAGTTGGCGATTCATTACGCTGTGGCGACCCCTGACTAATTAAGGGACTAAGCTGCATACTATTATACTATTACAGTATGTTTTGTACTATAATGTTTTATACTAATATGGTTTATTTATTTTATATACACAAATATAAGTTTTAATAACAAACATAACAATGGATGTCATATTTATTTTACATTAGTTATTAATAATACTGCTGTTCAGTTTTAGTTTGCTCCAGCACATCAATGATACCAGTAAAGTCTTACAAAATCCATAAATTTTCCTTAATAAATGCTTTAAAAGTACATTTCATCTAAAAATGTAAATTTAATCATCATTTACTAATGTGCAAGTAACCTCAATGAGTTTCCTTTACTTTCCGTTGAACACAAAAGAAGATATTTTGAAGAATGTTGTAAAACCGTAATCACTGACATCCATAGTATAAATAAAAGAGTCTATGGAAGTCATTTGTTTACAACATTCTTTAAACTATTTTCTTTTGTGGTCAATATAGAAGCTCAACCAATAAATGATGACACATTAATGTTAACAAACAAATGATCCCTTATTGTTAGCATTACCCTGACTGTAAACAAGTGTTTTCAATATCATTAAAATCAGGTTATAACTAATCACAATAAATAAACTTTAATGCCTTTGTATTGCTTTTTCAAGCCTGGTAAACAAGAATGCAAACCTTTATATTTCAAAATTCTCCAGATTTTCTAGAGAGCCTATAAAATACCCTATGAAAGCCTTTTTTTCTGCCAATTTAATTCCCTGAGCTCTTCCTTTGATTAAACACAAAGCGATGATCCAGGTTGTAGGATCAGACGTTACGCTACCAGCATCTCTCGCTCCGTCTTGATTTCTGCAAACACACACAGAACAAACCCACTGACACAATGCAATCAAAAGCCAAATGAAAGAGCTGTGTTATTCAGGGAGTAAAACAACACCTGTCCCTCCCTCAGGTGCTGCTGGCTGTGGATCAGTGGGTAATTCTGAAAGTGCTGTGTCTTCACCCTGGCCAGGAGGAAGAAAGAAATGCTGAATGAGACATTGAGGATAAAGACGTAGGACAGGTAAAAGTCTCCACACCTGGGTGAGGGTCTCCAGCTCTGCTAGCACAGCGTCCTCATCCTCCTCTTTCAGACAGCCCGCCAGGAGATCATCTATTTGCTGTTTTGGAGTTTTGCAGCAATAAAATATACACATTTGAAATAATGCAATACAAGGAAAGATGAAGATAAAGAAAGATGTTGATTCAATGGTGATGAATACATTTTTAATAATTGTAAAGATCCATAAGTAGAGCTGCTCTGATAATGGATTAAAAAGCAACTTAGACGACGTTTACATGAAATGCAACCAAAAACAAAACAAAAAAAAAAGATATTCCCCTTGCATTTTAAGGCTATGTCTACACTAATCTGGATACATTTTTTGCCTAAAAATGCTCCATGTCCACTGTGAGATTCCTAAGACTCCAGATCTCGTTGGAAAATGTGGCAGATCCTGATTGGATCCTGCATTATTTATCCATAATTGGTTCACTGTGCGGTTACTCAAGTTAATATCCACCATCTAGTTGAATCTTTTACTGTTTGGGTTTGTTTTGCATTATTTATATAATGTAGTTAAAGTTGCGAAGCAGTGGCGCAGTAGGTAGTGATGTGGCCTCACAGCAAGTTGTCGGTTCATTCCGCTGTGGCGACCCCGGATTAATAAAGGAACTAAGCCGACATGAAAATAAATAAATGAATGAATGTAGTTAAGTAATGTAGTTACTAGCACCAGGTTGGACCCACTTTTGCCCTCAAAACTGTCTTAATCCTTTGTGGCATAGATTCAACAACCTATTGAAAATATTCATTTGAGATTTTGGTCCATATTTACATGATAGTATCACGCAGTTGCTGCAGATTTGTCAGCTTCACATTCATCATGCGAATCTACCACTCCCCCACATCCCAAAGGTGCTCTATTGGATTGAGACATGTGGTGACTGTGGAGGCCATTTGAGTACAATGAACTCATTGTCATGTTCAAGAAACCAGTCTGAGATAATTCGGGTTTTATGACATGGTGTGTTATCCTGCGAGAAGACACTGTGGTCATAAAGGGATGAACATGGTCAGCAACAATACTCAGGTGGGCGTTGACACAATGCTGAATTGGTACTTATGGGCCCAAAGTGTGCCAAGAAAATATCCCCCACACCATTAAACCACCACCACCAGCCTGAACCGTTTATACAAGTCAGGATGGATCCATGTTTTTATGTTGTTTAAGCCAAATTCTAACTCTAACATGAATGTTGCGGCAGAAATCAAGACTCATCAGACCAGGCAACGTTTTCACAATCTTCTTTTGTTCAATTTTGGTGAACCTGTGCGGATTGTAGCCTCAGTTTCTTTGCTGTAGCCCATCTGCCTCAAGGTTCAATGTGCTGTGCTTTCAGAGATGCTATTCTGCATACCTCAGTTGTAATGAGTGGTTGTTTGAGTTACTGTTGCCTTTCTATCAGCTGAAACCTGTCAGGCCATTCTCCTCTAACCTTTAGCATCAACAAGGCATTTGCGCCCACAGAACTGCCACCTGCCACTCACTGGACATTCTCTCTATTTCGGACCATTCTCTCAAAACCCTAGAGTTGCTTGTGAGTGAAAATACCGGAAGATCAGCAGTTTCTGAAACACTTAGACCAGCCCATCTGGCACCAACAACTATGCCAGGTTCAAAGTCACTTAATTGATCTTTCTTCCCCATTTTGATGCTCAGTTTGAACTGCAGCGGTTCGTCTTGACCATGTCTACATACCTATCTACACCGAGTTGCTGCCATGTAATTGGCTGATTAGAAAGTTCTGTTAACGAGCAGTGTACCTTATAAAGTGGCCAGTGAGTGTATGGCAAACGCATTCAGGGCGTGTCAGAATTCACTTTTGCTATTTTTAGAACGGGAAAATCCGGTTTGCGCCATGGCGAATGGTCTAAAAGGGTTGAGTTTATTTGCTCAATGAGTTATAGGTGTGTTTTGAGAATAAACCCATCAGAGTCGTATCTACCATTCCCTTTAAGAGCCATTTGCGTCGCGCAATATGCGCATTTTCTATTTACATGACGTAAAGTAAGGGGAAGTGAAAAAAACTGAGCATTTCACTAGCAAAAAGAAAAAAAAAACAGTTAGACAGAGCACCTACAGTGCAAGAATGAGAGATAAGGCATCTCATAATTCATTTTTACTTTAGGATAGGGAAATCTTGTATACACAGACATCAATTAGCCTATAAACAATTAATTTCGTTTGTTAAGCGCAAAAATTTGTTTCAAAACTATTTCTAAATTCATTTCTAATTTCCAGCAAACAAATAAATGAACAATAATAACGAAGTGTGGTTAAAATAGTTACATTCTAATACACATGCTATGCCCCATATAGTCTAAAACCTGAAGGTGGACAAATCTAAGCTTGTTTTTAATAAAACAAATATAAATATACATATAATAAATAATAATACTAATAATAATCATAACATGTTACAAAAGCAAATTAAATGAACTGAAAAAGCCTCCCGAGATGAAGAAGGATTTAAGGCAGTGGTTTTTAAATTTATGTAGGCTAGAAAATAATGTTTTGTAATATTTTAATAATTTATATTTATATCCTATATAAATCCGTATCATATCATATATATATATATCCTTAATATTTTAATTATTTTACATATGTAAAGATATTTGCGTATTTCTCTACATCTTAAGTTATCTTAAGTTTTTTTTTTTTTTTGTTTTTTTTTTTTGTTATTCCTAGACATTTGTTTGTTGCTTTGACTGACTGTTGTTACATTAGTTTTATTTATTCTAAATATTTGCAATAAAGGCTCCTACACACCGGGACGCTTTTCGTTTGTGTTTATCGTCAGCGTATCCAAGCGATTTTCACTGCCGTCAAGCAGAAGAGTATGCAAAATTACTTCTTGACGTGAGATGGCGCTACACAACTTTAAGCTTCTGACACTCACTTATAGCACAGCTGAAGAGGAAGAGAGGAAGTTTACATACTTAGTTAAAGTTACTTGTGACTCAAACAAGCATGGATTGTTCAAACAGCAGCTCCAGCTCTAGCGATGAAGGAATTATTGTTCACCAGTGCAATAAGCAGCTCCACGTTCATATCCCCTCTGGGCATCTTCTTCAATGTGTGCTAGCATTGGCAGTTTTCCACTTGAGCGCCTCCAAGTGCTGTTGACTGTAACTTCAGCAGCTCCGTACAAGTGAACAAAAGTGCCAATCTGAGAAGGTTTTGACGCTGCATATCAAAACAAGAAAACGAGCATGAGACTTTTTTTTTTTTTAAAACGAAGTTTTGTGCCTGCCGTTTTGCGCGTTGGTGTGCATGATCACATTGATGCCCTTTATTTAGTCAGGAGGCGTTAAACGTCGAAATAAAATGCGAGCAAAAAGCGTTTTGGTGTGCACGGGCCTTAATAGTATTTTGTTGTTTGATCTCTCTTTTATGTTGTGACTCACATGAGCATGCTGTAACACCACACTATAATGTTTAATTCTTTCCATTATTAACACTAAAACAACTGAAAACTCTTTTAATACTGCACATGTGCACAGACGAAAGACACTTTTATCTGCATTATATTCACATGCTGTTTATTTACTTTCCATCTCTTTGAAATGTCATGGAAAAAACTGACATTAAGGTTTGATAAAGCTGTCAAAAAGGAAAGCATTCAAAATATCTTTACAATTTCGTTCACTATTAGCTGAAATGGTCACATGACAAAAATGCATCCTTTTCGAAAGTGTCCTTTTTCACAGTTCAAACAATTGAATTTTCAAATTGATTGACTTTGGATAGTGTTTTCAAAAAGATATGGTTTTGTTTCCTAAAAAAGCTTTCATGGTGTGGACTGAAGGCCAAATGGGAAAAATAAGATGTGTTTTTAAATGAAAATAAATTTGTGTCAACATGACCTAAGATAGTTTCATGTTTACACAACATTTTCAAAAACAAGCTGTTGGTTGAATCCACACGTTGCTGATGAAGCTTTAACAAAAATGAACAAAATAACCACAACCGCATAGTCTACCATTGATGTGTGTTTGTTAGCACTTGGCACCTCCCTAAACACATACAATGCAAACACACATGGCATCTTTGTTTTCATAGACTCTCATTTTTGGTTGTTCACAAGAACAAGACAGCTGTGGTGGTTTTAAAAACTTCTACTTTGTAATCTGTTTTCAGATTTATGCATTTCCAGTCTTAAAATGCAACTGTTTTGTACACAAACAGGAAAGTTTTCTTTTTTGGCTTAAAAAAGGAAAACTTGTTGTGTGTTTTGCATGCTAATTTACAACAAAACAGTGTCATTCTAAGAACGGGCCTGTTTTAGAAAAGAGGTTAAGTGAAAACTCAGAGTATTTTGACCATGAAATGAGCGAAACTTTGAGTTTTCCTATTTCAAAATGGCAGGTTTGTTAAACTTGAGAAAGCAGGCTAAGTCAAGCTTGTTTCTGAAAGACAGGTAATTTTAACTCAGAGTCAGTTATCGTGCTAACTTACTCTGTGAACCTAACCTGTTCAGGAGCAGGTATTATCCTCTAAATTCAGTTTCTGTCCGTCTCCACCCCTTTTTAAAAGACAAAGCGGTATTTCTCGCCTTAGCCTTACTTTTCCACCCTCCTATTTTAATGCTCATTTTGGAGATGCGCATAAAAACGATTGATGGAAACGTCATGATGCACATAACTTTTGAAAATTTAACATTTTTTTGCATAAAAATATTTGCATAACTAAGTAGGATAAACTTCTATTCGATAAGAAAAGATGCGCATAAACTACGATGGAAACACTTTTACTAAACAAATTACAGTGGGCCTATACATTAAAAAAATGTTTGTTATAAGAGATTATGATTAAAATGTGTGTGAATGGACAAACCAGCAGGCTGAGCACACTGTAAAACATCTTAAATGTTGTTTTGGTCATTCATTCTAAAATGCCTTTACCGTTTCAGTATTAATGTCATTATATTATTAATGACCTTCAGAGCGTCTGGAACATGTTAAGAGCATCTGTTCTCCGCGTCTCATGGCTTCAAACGGCCCCACGTGTTTTTTGTGTGTTAGCATTGTCTTCTGAGGCGCAATTACATTTATTAAGTTAAGCAAAGATTGACCCAGCTTTTTCTATCGCAGTAAATTCTGTTTTTTAATGTTGATATTTGGTGCCTGTATAATCAAGAAGTTACATCTTTTATGCATTATTCCAGTTTTGTGCATAAATTTAATTAACATATTTGGATGGAAACATTGCTATTGCCTACATTTTAGTCACACACAAAGAACAGTCACGTACGAGAATGGCTTGTCCTTTTTTTAATAAATAATTAACTTAAATTCACTAGATTAAACAAATATTAAATAAAACTATTGTTTAGTTCTGCTTAAATTCTAAATGTCATGTTAACCTCTATCACTTTATCAATAAAAAGGCTGACACTCAAGTGCACTTTTAAATTTATTAAAACTGATCAACGTGTATAAAAGTGGGAATGTGTGTAAAAATTTTATAAATGTCACACAAAATATTACTTACTATATACTGTAATGTTACATAAACATTTAAATACTTTAAATGTAAAATTGCGCATTAATCTGAGCTGTTTCCCCTCTCTAACGGCCTCTGTTTCACTGATGCAGTGGTGTTGCTTTTTAAAAAACATGCTCATATTTGCCATAACTTTGCTTGAGCACATCAAGTTCAGCTGGAGAAAGAAACGGGGATCTCTTTTTTCAGATGTTGTCATGGTCACTATTGAAAATTTCTTTTTATAGTCACGGTGTGCAGGTTTAACTCTGAGTTGGTCAACTCTAAGTTGATTGACCTAACTTAGATCCGCTGTTCTGAAACCGAAAACTCAGAGTTTTTAATCTCTCTGTAAATCAACTCCGAGTTCAAATTTAAACTCCGAGTTGGTTAAAGCTCTTTACTGAAACAGGTCCTAGGTTACAAAGTAGACGTTTTTAAAATTCAGCTGTAGTCCTGTCCCTGTGGGGTAGATTAAACACAAACACAAAACAATGGTGGAGTATGTGGTAGTGTTGTTGCTGCTCAAGTGTTTGCTAATGCTTCATCAGCAAAACGTGGATTGAATTCAAATTACAGCCAACAGTGGAGACACATCTTACACACACACAGCAAATTCTACATATCCACACCAGCACTGAGCCACCAACGATGTCATCACTTCCCTAGATACTGTTTACTACAAGATGATAATGCCAAAATATAGCCTGGCATTAGAAATATAGCATTTTAGGCCATGTTTTCATGAACATGGAAATACAGCGTAAACATGATTTTTTTGTTTGTAAATACACAGGGAAAATGCTTCGCTTTTTGGCTACATTGTTGTAGTGTAAACATAGCCATAGACACTTAAAACACGTTTTTATTCTATTTAAGAAGTACAATTTTATTTTATACCCCTAATCCTACACTGTAAAAATATCATCGATTAGTCATGACAGCATAGGTGTTAGTTAACTGTAACTTAATAAACTAAGTAAATCATGCTCTAACTTAACTTTATAAGTTACACAAGCTGTTTTAAGTCAGTTTGACATAATATAAGTTCAATAGACTCATAAGGTTAATTTGATTCAGCTTAAAAATGTAAAGCAACCAGGATCTTTTTATTTACAGTACATGCCTTTTCTTTGCCTTTGAAAGAGAGTGTGAACAAAATGATTAAATAAAGAATTAAAAACTCCCAAAATACTAAAACGTAGTACAAATATTATATTCATTCATTCATTCATTTTCTTGTCGAGTTAGTCCCTTTATTAATCCGGCGTCGCCACAGCGGAATGAACCCAAACCGCCAACTTTTCCAGCAAGTTTTTACACAGCGGATGCCCTTCCAGCCGCAACTCATCTCTGGGAAACATCCACACACACATTCACACACACTCTTACACTACGGACAATTTAGCCAACCCAATTCACCTGTACCGCATGTCTTTGCACTGTGGGGGAAACCGAAGCACCTGGAGGAAACCCCCTAAAAGCAGGGAGAACATGCAAACTCTACACAGAAACGCCAACTGAGCCGAGGCTCGAACCAGCGACCCAGTGACCTTCTTGCTGTGAAGCGACAGAACTACCTACTGTGCCACTGCTTCGCCCAATATTATGTTATATCTAAAAATAAAATCACACAAAAAAAGTACTGTCTACTTGTCACTATTAGTTTGCAAACTCTAAACTGGGAAATTATTGATATTAGTCAATACCATGAAACAAATTCATGATTTTTATGATTTAAGTCAATTTCATAGATGATCATGTCCTTTCGACATTTTTAAAGGTGACTAAATACACTTATGACTGGCTTTGTGCTTCCAGGTCGCATGCCTCAATGTACTGTATACAACATATATAAACAAAACACTACAAACACAACTCAACCACACCTCATTTAACAGAATGGGTCTTATTAAATCTTATGACATATTTATGTACTTCCAGCTAAAACTGAATATTGAGTAGAGGGCGGGGTTTGTTTTTGTGCATCATTCCCTCATAGCAAACTAACAGTAAGAGGGGCATCGTTAAGAAAATTGGTTAACACTTCATAATAACTACACACTATGAACCATTTATTAAGCATTAGCAAATAGTCAATTCATTATCTGTAAAGCATTAACTCTACATTAATAAACGTTAGTAAACAGTTTATAACTGCAGCTATAAATGCTCTATTGTTGACAGAACCAAATTTATAACGTGCTTAATAATTGTATTTTTATTCTTTGTTAATGTTTTATTTTTCATTCCTAAATGAAGTATCGCATTACTTACAAACCATTTGTATTTAAGAATAGTTGGTGGTTTTTAAGATCATTCAGAATGAGTTAGTAAATGATTAATAAACTATTAAAATCAATGTTTATACATCTTATTGTTCAGGCTAATATTAGTGGTTACTATGTATGTTAACAAATGCTTTATTAACTCAACTGCATGCTGTTTTGTGACCTAATCTAAAGTAAGGACTATTTATACTTTATAAATCCCTTACAAATAATGATTAAACGCTCAATTTAAAATAAACAATATTCTTGGCAATCTTATCTAAAAAGTAAAATTACTGTAAAGTTTAAACATTGCTGAATGACAGGAGTGTCAAAATACGACATACAATTATGTAAAACAACAACAATATAATAATTTAACAATATAATAGGATGTGATGTTGAAACCCAACAATGATTTTATTTTAGATAAGGTTGCAAAGATATATTTTTCAATTGAAGTACAGTTTCATTTGTGTATCTTCAAATGAACAGGAATAAATAAAGTCATTTATTTTCTTTTTTCGTGTTTAGAATAGAATTGAGCCTTTAATTATCATTTATAAGAGATTTATAAAGCATAAATAGTCCTCACTTTAGATTGGGTCACAAAACTGGTTGAAGTTGAGTTAATAAAGCATTTGTTAACATACAAATTAACTATTCCTATATGCCTGAATAATAAGAATTATAAATGTTAATTTGAACAGTTTATAAATCATGTACTAACTCATTCTGAATGATCCTAAAAACAACCAACTATGCTTAAATAACTGGTTTGTAAATAATGAAACACTAAATTAAGTAATGAAAAATAAATCATTAACAAATTATGAAAGTACAATTATTAAGCACATTATAAATGTGGTTTGAAGTCAAGAATAGAGCATTTGTAGCTTTAGTTTTAAACTGTTTACTAACCTTTATCAATGCAAAGTTAATGCTTAACAGATAATGAATTCACTATTTGCTAATGCTTAATATATGGTTCATAGTGTGTAGTTATTATAAAGTGTTAATGGAAATTGTGCCTGAAGCCGTCAAACTGACATCATCAAAGAAAGACTGTCATTAATAGAAATAGAATGAGTATGTCCCAAATCGTAGTATGTTGAAAACAGTATGCCAACAGATCCCGGATGGTTTACTATTTCTGGTAAAAAAATTAGGTGTAGAAGCATCCATACTCTAACCACTCATATTGCCAAAAGTACATTGCGCATTGGACATGAATGCGATTAGAACTACAAATGCGGGTGAAAAGTGTAAATATACTACAAACATGGTGGACGCGTGAGACCAACCGTCAAGTAGACATGCTTTGGTAAAGATGTTTGTATGATTGGTATTTAATATCTAGTCAACTGGAAAATATTTAAATAGCGTTTTCTGTGTTATATTTCATTTGCAACAACAATACTGAACTTATATAAAGATGTGTTTGGACATTAACGATTGAATGCTTAATTATCCAAAGACCTGAGGAGATTTTTCGGCATGAAAGACTGGTGAATGGGAGATTAACCTGTAATTAATTTAATATGGAAGAAATGTGAATGATGTGTGGATGATTGACAGGGCTCATAACTAAGCAACATAACGATCTATAATGAGGAACTAGTATGTCCCAAAGCTTGCATACTTTTGTCACACACTCAAGCGTTTATATTTTTCCTTCACAAAAAATACATACTTTTAGGGCATAGTATATGTATGCAAATTGGGATGCAGCACTGTAATGGGTGTGACAGACAAAAGAGACATCCAAAACACGCAGTACTGTTGGTCCTCCAGGACAGTGGTTGAGAAACACTAACCTAAAAAGTGCACTAGCAAATTAAACATTGCAAATTTTGATTCGCACAGACTTTAAGGGTGTTCAGAAACAGTGTTAACTAAATCAGACAGAAAATAGACTCTCTTTAATGTGACTTTGTAAATTTACAGAGCTTTTTCATGCTCAGAAATCCACAAAGTACTCTAGCATAATAAGACTTCTTTAATATAAATGCACCTTGGCTTCTTTCATTGGTTTACGTAATGCAGAACACTTGTACATGTTTTAAGTCTATTCAGCATTTAATTATGAAGTGAATTGAATGTGTTTTTAACCTTCTGATATTCAATGGCCTCCTTTGTGTCCTCTAGGATTTTCTCCACCTCCTCCAGTGACATGACCTGAAGAGAAAAAAAGACTAATCCGAGGCATGAAAAATTATTTTCAATGTTCAATGTCAGATGTTCACAATAGAGCAGCAAATCCCTTTTTTATATATAAATTTATAACACGACTGACCCTTCGCTAACCTCCACCTCCGTTTGGTTACTGTTGCTCACAGAGATGAACCTCAAAACATTCCACACAAATCAATCAACCAGTAAACAAAAGTTGAATATACTCATAAATAAGTCTAAATCCTAAACATGTTATTGTTATATAAGCTGTTTTTGAGCAAAGATGCATGAGGCTGTTTTAAAGTGCCTATAAAGACTGATGTTACAAAATATTTCAGTTCCTTTGAGCCAAATATTAAGTAGCAAAAGGGTCTTCAACATGATGATAATAATAAATGTTTATTGAGCAGCAAATCATTTAACTATTTTTTTGTTTTTTTTGGAGGTGTTGAGTTAAATTTTTGTTATCCTACTAAGAGTTCAATCAACTACAAATGCGGGTGAAAAGTGTAAATAAACTACAAACATGGTGGTCGCGCGAGACCAACCGTCAAGTAGACATGCTTTGGTAAAGATGTTTGTATGACTGTTAATTAATATCTTGTCAACTGGAAAATATTTAAATAGCGTTTTCTGTGTTATATTTCATTTGCAACAACAATACTGAACTTATATAAAGATGTGTTTGGACATAAACGATTGAATGCTTCATCGTCTGGCTACGGTAACTGAAGAAACTATTGAAATGATAGTTTGATTGTGTGTTCCTCATTTCCACATACTGTGTAAACATCTGAAGATAATTTTTGGGTAACACTATGGTCCATCTGAGTATTAGTAGACTGTCTGCTTGTAGCAAGTACATGTTAACTTACACTAACCCTAACAGTCCACTTATAATCTTATGAGAATTAGTTGCAATGTAACTTAAATTCAACAAACGGACCATCAAAATAAAGTGTTACCATTTTTGTTTCTTATTTAGCAATACCCTGTGTTTTCCTTCAGTGTTGACATTTGTTGTTGTTGTCGAGTTGTAAATAATGAAGGTGCTGAAGCAGGGGTTGAACACCACTCTTCACTTTTTGTAAGATTTACTTTTGATATAGCCTGAAAGCTAGTAAATAATTGTATTGTTGTTTCTCTCATTTTGTTAGGATTACATAGTTATAATATACATTTTCTTAATAGTCATTTTTGTTTACATTTAGTGATTTGGCATATGCTTTTGTTTAAAGATATTTACCATTGAGAAGGTATTCAGCGATTTAACAAGGAGAGGCAATAAACACAAGAAGTGCTAATTATACAAAGGAACTGTTTATGCTCATAGAGTTAGGAGCTAAAGTAGGGAGAAGGGAGTGTTTTTGTTTGTTTTTATAGAGAGAAGAGTGTTTCTGAAGGTGCATCTCTACTCACCTTTGAGGAAAATTTTCTAAATGCACAATGTTTTTTTTTTTTTTTTTTTTTTTTTTTTGATATATAAAGTGATTGTAAGAAAGTGCCTGATGTAAATGTGCTAAACTGATGCAAGTGTCAAGTGCTTAAATTTTTATTTTTTGAGGGTCCACACCAAGGGAAGGTTTTGGGTTAGGGTAAAACAAACAAAAAAGAGAAATAAAGGGATAACTAAACAGACCCAATGTAAAAAAAAAAAAAAAACTTCCTAAAAACTTTTATTTATTTCTAAGGAATTATTTCCATTACTTGACCCTTAGAACAGGGTCACTATATTATATTATATTATATTATATTATATTATATTATATTATATTATATTATATTATATTATATTATATTATATTATATTATATCATATTATATTATATTAATTTGATCAAATGAAAGACTTGTATTAGGAAAAGAGCTTTAGATTGTCTGCAGTTACAGTTTATGTCAATTTAAACATCAAAATGCTTAGTAAAAGGCTGTTTTTGTTCTGTTGTTGATATCAAGGAGCTCTGGATGTTCATAAGTCTCAACAGAGTCGTCTAGGACAAGACAAAGACTGGCCCGCTGTAATCTAAGAGTGTTATATTTAATCCTTTAATCCCAGAACAATGTCCAACAGTCCTAAAACATGCTGCTGCCGCCACTAACAACAACTGACACTACAAGCCAGGCAAAACATAGCAACGAATCAGCTTAGCTTCTAATAACAGCGCTGTACATGAATGACAATTCATTATTAAGCCACTGCAGGTGCATTTGCTTATTACAAGACAGCATATATGTGTGATTACAAACTATAGTCTCAGTCTAAAGAAAGACTCACCTCATGCATTTGCTTAAGACAGTCATTTCCATCCTTCAAACTTTCGATGACCTTTATTTCAATCTGAGCAAATTCGATGTCTTGAACCTAAGTGAGGCACAGTTAAAATATCATTTATGTTGTTTGTTGCAAGAATTTCAGACCTTTTCAAATTCAAAGTTACACAATGGATTAAAATGCAAGGACCTCTACTGTTAAACAAAAAAGAGACAACCAATCAGTGCTTCCAACAAAAAAATAAATAAATTCCCTTATCAGATTGTAAAATTCATATTGTTCCTTTTTTTTTTTACTTGTTTTAGACCAAATGTCTTAAGATTCTTAGGACGAGACACTGAGAACTTAATATTAACTTAAATAAATATTTTTTTATTTAGCAAATGCTTTTGTTTATACAAATTGTCTATAATAAATTGTCTGTTTATAAATTGTCTATTTATAAGCCTATTAATTGTGTATATTCATACAGTGCTCAGCATAATTAAGTACACTCCATTTCAAAAATAAATATTATTATAATAATATTAAATAATATTATTATATTCTCATTTAATATAAGCAATGTCTTTAAGTGCATTAAATGTATTTGTATTTTAGTCCATTCAAACAAAAAAATATATTAAACAGATATATTTATTAAAATAATATTTTAGTCACCAAACATATTGAGAAATTCAAAGATAATACAATTAAATTCAAGCAAAATATTGAAAAACCTACAAAATTTCACCAAAATTTTTACTTTTATTTATTTATTTTGCTTCTCTCGATTTTTCCTCTTATTAAATTTGTATTTAATTTTTTTCCATAACATATGTTCATGACACTAAAGGTCATCATACAGAACAGCTAAAACAATCAGTAAAAAAAAAAAAAAAAAAAACACACAATAAAAGTTAATAAAATACAAAACAATTAAAAAAAAAATACAGTTGGGTTAAAGTGAATAAGCTGTTCTAAACAGATGTGCTTTAAGTTTGGGTTTAAATTGTGAAAGAGAGTCTAAATAACGGAGATCAGGAGGAAGTGAATTCCAAATATGAGGAGCAGAGTGGCTGAGGGATCTGCTCTTCATGGTGACAAGGCAGACAGAGGGAACAGTGAGGTGAATGGAAGAAGAAGACCTGAGTGTTTGAGAAGGTGTGGCGATATGAACAAGATTAGCAAGGTATGTAGGAGCAAGAATGTGGACGAAGAAGTATTTCATAATTCATTCAGAAAAATATGGGAAGCCAGTGAAGCTGTTGTGGAATGCGTCTGTTGTGACGGATAGAGTTTTTTTTTTTTTTTTTTTTTTTGATAATACGGTCTGCAGCGTTTTGTACCAGTTGTAATTGATGAGGAGTTTTATTAGGGTGGTCAAACAGAAGGGAATTACAGTAGTCTAAACGGGATGTTACTAAACTATGAACAAGAATGGCAGCTGAATGAGGTGTAAGGGAAGGACATGAACGATTTATATTTCGAAAGTGGAAATAAGCAGACCGGGTGACATTATTATCATGTGCAGTGAATGAAAGGGTGCTGTCGAAGATGACCTCCAGACTCTTAACCTGAAGGGAGGGAGTAAAGACAGAATCATCTGTGGGAATAGAAAAAGGTATGTGATTTGTTTAGAGTAAATTGTGTTCCTAAGTAGAAGTTCGGTTTTATTGTCATTTAATTTTAGGAAGTTTGAGTTGAACCAGGATTTGATGTCTGCAAAGCAGTTAGTAAGGGATGAAGGTGGGAGTTTAAGGTTGGGTTTGGTTGATGGGTAGAGCTGGGTGTCATCTGCATAGCAATGAAAATGAATTTGATGTTTGCAGAAAATATAACCAAGTGGAAGAAGATAGCAGGTGTCCCAAAACTGAACCCTGGGGCAATACAGTAGTGATGAGGACTGATGACGAGGTGAAAGAGTTTAATTGAATGAACTAAGTGCGACCTGAGAGGTGTGATTGAAACCAGCTGAGAGATGTGTTACCAATGCCAATAGAAGCGCACCTGTCAAGAAGAATGTTATGTGAGATTGTGTCGAAAGCCGCACTTAGATCAAGCTGAAAAAATGGATAGTGAACCAGAGTCAGCTGCTAGGAGGAGGTCATTAGTGATTTCATTAGTAAATTAAGTTCACAGTACTCATTTGGATTAGTTTTTGAACTTAAACAGTTTGTTGCAATCAATTTTCTCACACGGTTTGAGTTACTTTAACTTTTTGGGTTTTACAGTGTATCAAAACTACTTATTTATTTGTATTCTTTTTTTTTAATGTGAAATGCTAATGGTCTAATCTGATTCAATGATTTATGCTAAGCTAAGCTAAAAGTGCTCCTGTCAGATCTGGAGATCAGTTTGAATCAGTCAGATTCAAAAATGGTAAAAGTTAAAACTCAACCGTTTAACTCTATGATAATTGTAAAATGAGCCTATTTCCATAAAACACTAAAAAGTGAGCACTCATATTAGACCAGTCCAGTAGTAATCCTGTATTACTTTAAAAAATGAGTAACATGATGTAAACCCACCAAGCGCTCCAGGTTGTCTATCTGGATGTCAGTCTTGTCCAGAAGCTGGTCTTGGTAGCGTTTCTTCTTGAGCAGCAGAAGCGCTCGTCTGTAAAAATGACTCATGAATCACACATATTAGTAAATCCACACAGCCAAAATCAATACAGATGGTATCAAATCAGCACTATAAATGCCCTGTGTAATGCATGACGGCAGACATAACCAATGGCCTGTAATGTGAAATGTCTTACTCTCTCTTGCCATCCTTCAGGAGCTGTTTGGCCAGACGTCTCTCTCGCTCCAACTGTAATGTGATTTTCTTCCGATATTGTTTCAGTTTATCTCTCTGCTGCTTGAGTTGCTGTGATCCAGTGACAGGAGGTAATGCAGAAACATGACAGTTCACTTATACATACGCTTCTTATTTATAAAGACATCAGTTTGTGGACTGAGACGAACAAACAGCTGTCAAAGCACAGGATTTGTGAGTGCAGATCTGTGTGCGTGCTCACCTGAAACACTGTTGTTCTGATAAACAAGACAGCAGAATCTTATCAGAGAGACTCAGTGTAGTCTAAAGTTGTCTCTTTTTTTCTTCTTTTTTTTTTTTCCCCTGGAATCTAGGCCCCCTGCTGCCCGACACAACATTCAAAAGCACCCCATGCTGTTATAACACTGATATAAATATATATCTGGTTGTATTTCTGTATTTGATTTTATTTCAAATAAGATTTAATAACGGCATGTTTTTTAATAAAAACAACCTCTTTAATAAAAGCAATTTCTTGTCAAAAAAGCAGCTAAAGACACCTTACCTGAATGTGAACAACAACAACAACAACAACAACAACAACAATAATAATAATAATAATAATAATAATAATAATAATAATAATAATAATAATAATAATAAATGATATTGTGGTTGTTTTTCACTTGTTTGATTGAACTAAAATTTACAAAAAAAAGCAATTGTACAACAACAACAACAACAACAACAACAACAACAACAATAATAATAATAATAATAAATAGAGTTGTTGATGTTCTCACTTGTTTGATTAAATTTAAATTTTACAAAACTATTTACAAAAATAACAGCATTAATAACAATTTGATATGTTTAAACAACTTATTATTTTTATTTCCATGGCTCATAAAACAACAACAACAAAATAAAATAACAGGCACAGCCAGTATTTTTTCAGGTCTCAGGTGGCAAAATTAGTTGGGATTTGATTGTAGAATGTTATTAAACAATTTATTACATTTTAAATATATCTTGAAGTATTAAACATTGTGTCATATATAATTTGGACAGCGATGATGATAAGTTATTAATTTTTATTTTATGAGGTGTAGCACGAACATGCACACAAAACAAATGTCTAATGGTATTAACATAAAACATGCACATGTAATTTATATACAACCTTGCTTTAATACGATATATTATAAAGTGTTGCTTGAAAAAACAAGCTCTCAATATTAAAATATTTTTATTATTTATTTAATATGCAATGCTTCATTTTTGTTTGATGTAAACCATAAATTTATTTTTCATAAAGTAACATACTTATTTATTTTTCATAAAGTAACATACTTTTTATAGCAGATAACTCACATTCAAGGCAGCATGATAATGAGAAATGCTATTCATTGTTAGTATTATTGTCAGTTTCGTCATTATAAATATTTAATAATTATGAGACATACATTTTGAAATTATTACACACAAATATAAATAAGTCATCTCAGCATTAGTTAGATAGTTGTTTCTGGTTTTTGTTAACAAAAAAAGTTAATATATAAATAATATATATATACATATAGCCTATGTATATATATATATATATAAATGTATATATCCATTCATTTTCTTGAAAAAAAAAACTATATATATAGATATAGATATATACACACATAACAGACTATATTGCTTTTATAAATAGATTATCTGTCATTCAGTATGCCTTTATATTCTATGTAAATCATACTTTTCTTTCGCTTTTACTTCTACTTTTGTTTTGTGCTTTAGTGTATTACATTATACTCTGTAATGCATAGGCTACTTCAGTTGTATTACATGTAATTTAAGGATCTGTTATATTCTATGGTTTTGTGTTGTGCTTTATGAACTATAATGATTTCCCTCTTCGTTCTGTTGAAGTGTGTGTGCGTGTTTCTCTTCTCACACACAGTCGTATAAAGTAGGACAGCTCATAATCCTGTCAATGGCAGTAGTTCATTATGGCTGAACTCATTACGGACAGTAGGCCTATATGTTGCCTCTAGATCTACTCGCGTATGTACAGTAAGTGACAGAAACCCAACACCCACTGACTGATTGATTATTTGATCGATTAATTCTTACCAATATCGCCCTGTCCTGATCTGTCACTCGACTCGGGCGTCCCTGTCTGCCGAAAACATTTCCCATAGCGATTAAGCCACATCGCCGCCTCTCCTCTAATGCCACATCTCATATCAAACGCTGGCTGCAGTTTTACAGTAAAACACACGGAGATGATGACCCGCGGTGTCAGTGCAGGACGACTGATTGGATTCAGATGTTTTTCAAACGGCCCAATAAGCGCATGAGGAAACTTAAGCCCCCACTAGCGACTAGTAAGTACACTACAGTACAGTATACGTTACAATGCTCTTCACTATACTGTAGCACAGCTGAAAAACATGAGCTGAGAAAGTGGCCATAAAAAAAGGTGTTTATTGATAAATGTTTTTACATTTTTCACTCTCAAATGTGGAGTATGGGCATTTTGTAAAACCCTTTCAAACATTTGATATTAAGGCTGACTGATTGAGATAACAACCATTACATTTTTCACTCTCAAATGTGGAGTATGGGCATTTTGTAAAACCCTTTCAAACATTTGATATTAAGGCTGACTGATCAAGATAACAACCATCATTAAAAAAGGAACTATTTTATGACGGAAAACTAAAGTTTTAATGGGATTTATTGTAATTAACAGGAATTCTCAATTAACAGGAATGACAGACAATTTACTAATTTTGTTGTTTGAGTTATTGTTAAACCTTTAAACTATTAACAGAGTGACTTTTTCCATTTTGTGCTTTAGCTTAAAATGCTAAGCAGGTACCACATAATCTAAAACAATATTGTATGCGTTTTCATCAAAATATAGTATAGTATAATGAGAAATTCACTGAAAAAAAAATTAAAAGAGTTGACAATAATCCATATGATTGGTGTACCCTAAACATTGTGTAAAAAGCATGAAAGAAGAATAATGACAAGCATGCTTGCTTACAGAGTTTCCCACCAAAGAATAAGGTAAGTCACATGGTATTTCTGCTTTATGTCCTTTTAGAACTTATATAAGCTAAATGTATACCAAACTGTAAGGACAGACACAGCATTTTCCTAAATACATTTACAAATATTATTTTGTTTAGAGGTAAATTAATATCATTTGTTATTATTCAAAATGGTTTTATTCCAACCATAGCACTTGACCTCATAAAAGTGTTTTCTAAACGTGTGTCAGCTTAGAATTCAGACATTATGCCACATGAAATGGTCTAAATTATCTGTAAATTCATAATTTTGTGGTTTTGTGTCATTTAAGGTTTGGTATCTGTGAAACTTTTGCCGTATAAACATATCTTTAAGGGTTTCTATTATGCAAAATTAACATTTGGGAGTTGTTTGAACAGAATTTTTGCATCCACAATCGTATTGTATTGATATAAACACAAGAAGTTTATTTTTTTAAATGACCTAAAATTAAAACAGGATCCAAATCTGAGCAATCTTGAGGTCCAATACAACATGAGGTAGCAGTGCGGTTTCCCCCCACCCAATGCTATTGTTTGATAGCCACATATTAACATGCAGTTACAATCATTTCTACAAGACAAAATTCGCAAAAAAAAAAAAAAAAAAAGAAATAATTAAAAGATCTGTTCTAACTATCTGTGATTGGCTGCAATTCAAGAAGCAGTAAATGGGATTTTAATAGCATTTTGAACTATACTTTTCTAGCTATGTAATTAAAAACTGCTAGAACAGAGGTCAGTCAAACTCAGTCCTGGAGGGTCGATGTCCTGCACAGTTTAGCACTAACTCTAATCAAACACACATGCTAATAAATTTCTAGTGATCTTAAAGACACTGACTAGCATGTACAGGTGTGTTTGATTAGTGTTAGAACTAAACTATGCAGGAAACCAGCCCTCCAGGACTGGGTTTGCCCACCCCTGTGCTGGAATCACCACAGCTGCACAGTGTACACAACTATAAACTAGGATGCTTCAATCACAACACAGGAGTCCTGGTTTGTGGACATTAAATCAGGTTCATGTTGTACATGTTCTTCATACAGCAGAACATTCATGGTGGTCATTCTGTCACATCTGTTGCAAGTAGGTGAGCAAAAACAGCACAGCTTGTGTGTGTGTTTGCACTAGTAGATTAATCTTATTAAGGTAGTGACAGTGGGTCTTTGTTTCATCATGTATGAGTTCTGTCACTTGCCTGTTTATCGTTCTCTGAAGAAAGACTTTCCAATAGTGTGTGAGGAGAAAAAATTACTTAGAGTGGGTGGGAAGAACCTGCTCATTTGCATTTAAAGGCATAGGCACAAAAACAGCTAAAATCCCCTCTGACTGCAAAATTGACATTTCAACAGTGTTTAATGAAAGATCTGATGGGTTTTTTGACCTGAAACATTACAGTCTTATTTTGAAGAGACAAAAGACTTAGTTTACACCTTGCAAGAAGGCCAAAATTGGAGCCCTTTATGTTTCTTATAATGTGCTTCAGAATACATGTAACTCATGAAATATACTCTTTTAATTGGAAATGAATGCAGCATCCAATAAGAATAATAAACATAAAAATTATTTATTGAATCAAATTTCACAAAAAAGTATTACATAAACATTTTAAAAAAGCACTTTAGAAATTCCACAAACAAATACATGTCATAATCTAATACATATTTAATCTATACTTTATTTTCTTCATCATAAACATCTATCCGACTAAAAAGCAATATGGTCAGCCTCAAAAAACAAAAACAAACAAAATCATGGCCAAAGCTATACAGTACATCAGTGGAAAAAAACAGAAAGCGCTTCAAATAGGCAGCTTTGATCTAGTTTGAGTACATAGGCAAACATACACAAAGACAGAGAAGCTTTAACCAAAAGAGACAAGCCTGTCAGTCATTTTTACCCCCAAATTGCTCATTCCCATATTTACCATTGTAGAAAATCATTTGTATTCATCCTTATCCTGTGCCGCGAGCCTCACAAATCAGGTCTGGAATAAACAGCAGACTTTTTATTGGACTTCTACATCAGACATTTACGAGGCCGAAACACTGAAATACATTTAAAGAGAGGCACCAAACGAAACCCCTCGCTCCTCATGCAAAACACACTCATTATTGTGGGCCAGATAGCGATTGATCATTTCTCTCAGGCTGTGTCATTTGGAGTCAATTAAACCAGTGCGAAAAGTCTGGGAATATTAATTAAAGGCTCTTTGTGGAGGCTCAAGGCCTTTGTGCTGTAAAACATAACCGCTTTTCACCTTTCTTTAGCTATTAATCGAGATTTACACAACCTAAGCTGAAGCATTAATCAAATTTCTTGAACACTGGTCACAGAAAACACCATAAATCAATGATCCGGCGAGGCCCTGAGGAGAATAAGCGGATATTTACACATGTTTCAGAGTCAGCCAGAATCCTCTTTACCTCTACATGAGAGTTTGTCAGGTCTGGACGGCATGCAGTCTTTGTGAACTCCCTTTGACACAGTAAATATTTGTGCTTTTCCCATCCACAGGTGTCCGACCAGTGGTTTTCATCTGCTTTAGGAAACCTAGACCTGGAAGTCTGTCCCGAAGTGTCTGATTTGGGCATCAGTCATAGATAGGTAGGTGGTCCTCATGCTGGGCGAATACTGCAGTTGAGCGAGAAAGAATGGGTAGATGAGTATGGTGCTGGAGACTGGAGAATAACATGAAAATCACAGGCAATAAAACAGCCTTAAGTCCTGTTCACACACATAACGTAGATTAAAGAATTAATCTCTTTCTGCGAGCATTGAGATTTTAAGGTGGGCTAAGCAGAAGTGAGCTGTCATGATGTCCAATGCTTTTATTTAAATGGGCAATGAGTATGGATCAGGCACGATCTTTTATTTTATGCTCATTCTGTACAGAATGTTGTAATAAATAAATAAAATTCAAATAAAAATCTGTGAATTTATTGTGAGATTGTAGGAGCTGAAAACGTAACAAACTTAAAACAAAAGATATTTTTAATGATTAATTTAAGGTTTAAAATACAAATTATATCAACTAGAAGCAGTTGTTCAGTAAACAAATCTAAAGTAGTTCTCTACCACTAAAAGACATTACCTTATAAAATGTATTGTAAACAAATCATCTAACCATTTACATATATAATAGTAAATGGTGATTAATTATTAAGACATAATTAAAATTATTTATGTACATATATTTACACAAGTACATACATGTAGATAACAGGGTCAACAATCTGCTGAAATCTGTAGTTTAAATGAGTCACATCCTTCTTTTCTGAATGAATCAGCTGTTTGAATGAAACACTTTAAAGTGATAGTTCACTCAAATAAAAATGTACCCATTATTTATTCGCCCCTCAAACCTTTCTTCTGATGAATACTAAAGATGGAATTTGGAAATGGTAGCCGTTAGCATATAAAAGTCAATGGCTTCTGTCTTCCAATGTTCTTCAAAATATCTTTTTTTGGGGATCAATGGAAGAAAGAGAGAGGCTTGAAATAAGATGACATGATTTGGGAGAACTATCCTGACCAAAATTGCCTCAAGTGCACAGCAACAACTCATCCAAGAGGTCACAAAAAGGCCTAGTCTATATATATATATATATATATATATATATATATATATATATACAGTATAAATTCAGGTCAGGACTCTGACTAGGCCTTTTTGTCAAAGACAAACACAAGTAAACGCATCATATGGTTTCGAAATTAAGGTTTTAATATTAAGGTAAAACAAACTGCAACAGCGCCTAGCTATTGTAACTTAAATTGGACCTGAAGTAAGTAAAGAAGACCAAACGATCCTCAAAAGCTAGATATATCATACCAAGATCCAAAGCAATTCAAAAAACATATGAGAAAAAAAAAGAGATCTAATCTGAGACCTTTCCGGTGTGGAAAAGGTTATAAAGCCATTTCTAAAACTGCAGCAAATCACAATAAGAGCCATTATCTACAAATGGCAAAAACAACAACATTGGACTCTCTTCTTAGAAGTGGCTGACTAAAATTGGCCCAAGAGCGCAGAGACAACTTATCTAAGAGGTCACGAAAAGACTTTGGAGTGGACCTACAAAGTCCTGACCTGAATCCGATTGAGATAATGAGGCATGACCGCTAAAAGACAGGTCATGCTCTAATACCCTCCAATGTGGCAGAATTACAACAAATATGCAAAGATGAGGGGGACAAAACGTATCCACAGTACTTTAACAGACTCATTCAAAAATTTTACCTTAATAAGGGGTTTACTTGTGTTATCTGTGACTAATATTTAAATTAGTTTGATAATATGAAACAAAGTAAGGGGCAAACAAGTTTTCACACCACTGTATGTATGAATGAATGAATAAATGAATGAGTTATTTAATGAATGAATTAATGAATGAATGAATAATTTCACTTTTCTTTATGGTGTGTTCTGCTCATATACACGGTAATAATAACTATATATATATATATATATATATATATATATACCAGAAATAAAGCTACTGTGTGTGAAAAGGCCTTCAGGTAATTACTAACAGCACAGGACAGACATGAGTTGGAAAAGTACAACATACTGATGATTTCCAGTCAAAAATAACGGAAGACAACAGCATCAAAAAGTCAGTGCTCTTGAGTTTTACAAGGATGTACAGTACAGAGTAATCAATGCATTTGGTGATGGTATTTTCAGGATAAGGACATGGGGGAAAAAAAGGGCAGAAATGTTATTGGAACCCACTTACTGTTTTTAAATGTCTGAGGGATACAAGTTCAAAAGTGATAAAAGACAGGAAAAGAAGTCAATTAGCTGTGAAATCTCACGACAGTTGAAAATGACGCTGGGGTTTGCTTCATTAGACACAAGATGAGTTTTACACTTTCTGCAATGCATTAAGCAGACCATCCTCTTCATTACAGCCTCCACTTATTACTTATGAGCACCAGACTGAAGGACAGTCTGAATTAAGCCAAGACCAAACAATTTTAAATATTTTTTATTAATAATATACTATTAATAATTAATAGTCATTCACTTCTCATTTTCTTTGTGCCTGCTGCATGGATATTCAAGTAAAAAAAAAAATTTAACAACAGGGGGCAGCAATGCTCCATTTCTGTTTTTAGCAGAGCACCACAATCACACACAACAACCATAACAAGGGTTATGGTTATTCTTTAGGTTGTTGTAAGCCAACATTGCATCAAATATGTTTTACTCGCCCTTTAAATATTAACATACTTAATTCTATTATTATTATTATTATCATAATTACTATTTTCTTTTTTAAATATAGAATTTATTTTATGATATATGGAAGCAAGTTTGTCAACCTATAATGAAATAGTTCTAAACATCAGCAGCTACATGAAGATGTAATACACATAATAATAATCAATATTATGAATGTATTGAACTTAAAAATGCGTCTTATTTATTATTAGTAGCCTATATTATATAGATATAAATATTATTTTCCAAATTATTTTTTATTAAATCATTATAATTTATTTAAAAAAATTAAATTAAATAAAAATAATGAATATAAATTATTTATTAAATGTAGGATTTGAATCAAAATACCGATGGTGGTGGTGAACCGCTCCCAATTAATGGGACGTTTTCATAGCGAGGATTTCTTTCAAACAGCATGGACTGATTCCTGCAGGAGAGGAGAAAAGATAAGTGGGTCAACAGTGGAGAAAACAACATCTCTATTTTTCTTTTACACACACTCACATGTACTCGGGTGTGCTGGATGTGGCCTGCAGTGGAGGCTGTAGACTGGTCTGGCTGCCCATACTGCTGCTGTAGCTGCAGAAACTGTGGACTTGAGCTCGGCTGGGGTTATAAGCATTAAAGCGCCTTGTGGGGTTAAACGGGTCCTCTTCATCGATATCATCATAATCCCTGTCCCTGAGGAAAAAAGCAACACTGCTCAATGGGTACCACAATGATACAGTAGGAGGCAGGACATTACTTGATGGTTTGTGTTTAGTACAATGCCTGCTTCTATGGCTATATTCATGGCGTGCCAAGTAACTATAAACATTAACAATTTATTTTTCATAACAATTTTAAAACTCTATTTAGATTAGCATGGTTAAAAATTTCTTCAAATAAACCAATTAACATTTTACAGAATTAGAGCCAAGTATGTCAAAGTCAAGGTTTTAAAACCACCAAAAATTTGTTCTACCGTTTCTATGGTATATGTAATTTATTTAATTATTTTTTTTTTTAATTGCCTTAATCCTTCGTGGCATAGATTCAACAAAGTACTGGAAATTTTGGTCCATATTTACATTATAGCATCACCCAGTTACTGCAGATTTGTCGGGTGCACATCCATAATGCAATTCTCCTGTTCCACCACATCCCAAATGTGCTCTATTGGATTGAGAGATCTGGTGACATTTGAGTACAGTGAACTCATTGTCTCGTTCAAGAAACCAGTCTGAGATGATTCGCGTTTTATGACATGGCACATTATCCTGCTGGAAGTTTTTATAAAGGGATGGACATGGTCAGCAACAATACTCAGTTAGGCTGTGGTGTTGAAAAGATGCTCAATTGGCAGTAATGGGCCTAAAGTGTGCTAAAAAAATATCTCCCACACCATTACGCCACCACCACCAGCCTGAACCATTGATACAAAGATGGATCCATGCTTTTATGTTATGACCTTACCATTTGAATGTTGCAGCAGAAATCAAGACTCATCAGACCAGGCAATATTTTTCCAATCAATGTTCTTAGCTGAGTGGCATCTAGTGTGGTCTTCTGTTGCTGTAGCCCATCCACCTCAAAAGTCTATGTGTAGTGTGTTCAGCATCGCTCTTCTGCATACCTCGGTTGTAACGAATGGTTGTTTGAGTTAGTGATGCCTTTCTATCTGCTTGAACCTGTCTGGCTATTCTCCTCTGACTTTTGGCATCAACAAAGTATTTTCGCCCACAGAACTGCCACTTACTAACTGCAGCTTACTGGATATTTTCTATTTTTCTGACCAGCCGGTGAGTGTATTTTAGAGCAGTAAACACAAAACCAGGTACCAAGATATTTTTATTTATGGCTAAAATCTTATACCGACCCATGCCTAGCCAACACAAATAAGATATACTTGAGGGTTAAAAATGCTTTTACAAATACAGCATGGTGGAGGATATTCTCTGAACAATAAAAACCTGTGTGTGAGTCATCTAGAAGTGACATATTCTACAGCGGGTATAAACAATCTGATCCCACCACTTGGAGGGTCATGAAACCCCTGTCTCAGAAAGGAATTTTCACACCTCGGTATCAAAAAAAAAAAATAGAAAAAAGGGGGTTTTCAGCTGTGTTTATGTGGAAATTTTCACAAGGGCAACGCAAAACCGCATTTGCTGTGACGATGGAGATTGGTTCTGAGAGCAGCATTTACAGTGATTCTAAGAGATGTATAGAATTGGAGAACTTCTCCAAACCAAAATGGCTGAATTTGGTTGATTATAGTGCAGGTACACTGCCTTATCAGTTAAATCTTTTCTACACAACTATGAGCATGCATGTAGAAGAAAGTGAAGATGCTCATTTTGGCTTTTTGTTTGAAGCCAAAAAGAACTTCGAA